CGAAAATCATTGCTATTTCTAGAAAGAATTTTTTTTTCTCAAAACCCTTCGTTCACGAACGAGGTGACATAGAAAACTAACAAACTTTCCGTTGATCTTGATTTCAGTTGAGTTGTTCCCGTTTTATCGTGCACACCGCAAGTCGCTTTAAAAAAAGGTTTTTTGGGGAAACAGCTACAGTTTGCACAAATAATAATATTTTTTAAGTTTCAAAGTTGCTAAAAGTTCATAAAACCATGTACAGTCTGATAATTATGAAAATCACTCATTTTTTGCGGTCAAAAAGGTTTCCTTAAACAAAAATAAAAAAATCTGTATTTGATATTTTTCTATAAACGATTAAAAATCATTTTTAAGCGAATTTAAAGAATCATTATAAATTACACTGAGAGAAAAGAAGGCACCCTGCAGTTCATTTGGGGGTTGTGTATCGCAATTCAAATGTGGATCAACTGCGCACTCTAAAGGGGCGCGTTAAGGTACACTCTCACCTCACTGCCTGCCTGCCTGTGCAGGCAGGCGCCATAAGAGTGAGAGAGAAGAAACATTTAGTTTGAATTTTCTGACTCTCTTACTCTTATGTGTTACCATGTCAACCGGCAGGCAGGCAGTAGGAGCTGTGCTAGCGTCTTTACACGCCACTTTAGAGTGCGCAGTTGATCCAAATTTGAATTGTGATACACAACCTCCAAATGAACAGCAGTGTGCCTTCTTTTCTCTCAGTGTACATATGGAATAGAATATTCGCAATAGCTGATCGTAAAGAGGAAGCAAAATGTTCATGTAATTTAAAATTTAATTTGCTATGAGAATGATGTTCATTCATGCAGAGAAGTATTTGAAAATGTGGGTAATACTTGCTTTCAAAGTAAGCACTTAATTCACAATTTTCTTGAAAACAAATAACTTTTTTGATTTTTTGCAAATAAATTTTTTTCTTAAATTTAACAGTAACAGGTCGATTTCTGAGATTCTTAAAGTATTAAATTTATGTTTATCTCCATTTTTAAAAAAAAGGATTTATTAGCATTTGACGTAACCCCAAAACGATTCCAGCTTACTTTTACTCCTTTTTCTCGCTAGTATATGGGATTACCTCACCAAACTATATTTCTACTTGTAATGCTACACGGAGAGACCCACATTCGTAAAAATTACTAAAAATGGTTGCAATGACCGGAAATAAGGGGACTTTTAGCATAATGTGCTACAGAATTAGATAAATTTACAAAAGAAATAGATAAATTTGCTACATTGAAATAGCAAGTTTTAATATTTTGTGTAAGAGTTGTAAATGTAGCAAAAATTGATTATAGTTTTCTCTAATTTAATTAGACAAAATCTGACAAATGAAAACATTTTCCACTAAAACCTACGATCCACTGTAGTAATTTTTGGTGAGCAAGTGTGGCTAGCGAGTGCAGTCATATGGCGCCTGCATTTCTATTGGTTGCTAACTTCGTCAATCTCCGTAAATGAGCCGATGCCATCCGATCATTGACAGTGACTATGTTTCGCGTATGTAAAATAAATTTGGATATTATCTACAATAATTAAATATAAAGTGAAACGTAGGTCGTTCGGTATCTCAGAAATTGACCATTATAAATTAATAAACTTTGCATTTATTCCTGTCCCAAGAACTATGTCTTATAATAAGTTGTTAAAAGTAAACTGCTTTCTCGTAAGTGCTGTAAATTTTCATCATTCAATATATAAGGAAACGAAGATGTATACTTTCAGTGAAATTCGTTGTCGTGCGTGCAGTTGTGTATTAGTGTATTAATTAACCGCGTCTATACATATAAGTGAAATAAACATGTGTGTGTCTTCAAATATTTATCCAACAAATATATAAGTGTGTGTGTGTGTCTGTGTATGTAAAAATCCTTCCAGTTTACCTCCATTAGTCAAGAATTGACGGGAAACCGGCGACAAAAATTCGTATTTTTTCTTTCACTCTTTCTTTCTGCATTTACAAACGACTATAGTAATTTTACGTACACAATGCTTCTGAGTTTACTACAGTTGTTTGGAACTATTGGATGAAATAGTAAGAAACTTTGCTAATTTGGTGAACATTTGTCGGATTAGTGACTTAGTGTAGAAAATAGTAAAAAATACAAAAAGTCCCCTTATTTCCGGTGGTTGCAATGTGAAAATAGTAAATTCTAGTGTGATTTTATACAAAAATTAGTAATCTCGGTCTCTCCGTGTAATAATATCTCGAAACTTTGTCTTTGATTTATTCTAAAATGCGGAGAATTTTTAAATAGGTTTTTTTTGCTTCCTGTAAATCATAAAATAGGCACTTGACTTCTTTTGTCAAACCACTTTTGTATTTTTATTTGTAATTAAAAAAGAGAATAAAAATTTATAACGTATTATAAAATTTAAGGATTCCAGGCCAAATCGGAAATTATTTTGCTTTTGCATCTCAAATTTTTTTTAAACATTTTTTTTCTTTTAGTACTCTTTGAAATGAGCTACCTTGATTTTTTAAAAATTTTTTCATAAAGCGGTTCAGGAGATACAGATTTTTAAAAAATAACGTTTTTTACGTAAATTTTTTTTTAAATGCTTATAACTCGGTCAAAAATTGATCAAATTGGACGGTTTTATAATGAAAAGTTTTTTCTCACGCGTAGTTTTCAATAAAAATATTTTTAAATAATTGACGACAAGATTTTAAAACTTTTAAAATAAAATTTTATTTTTAACAATCTATGTATCGATCAAATTTTTTCAAAATTTTTTGTACGAAACTAGCACTAAATTAACAATTTTTAAGCCTTGTCCGATCGTGGGCAAACGATGGGATCTATTTATTTAAAATTTTTTAATTTCTATATACACTACCTTTTTCACTGTGTATATAAAAATTAAAAAATTTTAAATAAATAGATCCCATCGTTTGCCCACGATCGGACAAGGCTTATAAATTGTAAATTTAGTGCTAGTTTCTTACAAAAATTTTTGAAAAAAATTGATCGATACATACATTTACTGTAAAAAAATCTGGTTTAAATTTACTATGTCCGACGTGGTATTTTTACACGCCGACTGTAATCTACATAACCTGCAAATATTTTTTGAAATAATATTTTCAGTCGTAACTTTTTGTATTTATGAAATATAGCCCAAACTTTTTGTAATATTATTATTTACTTATAAATTAGCATATACTTTCTATAAATGTACATTATATACACTTTTTTAGAGTTATTTATAAAAACTTGAAAATTTTTTGAAAATTTTAAAGGAATAAGAAAATTACATTCGCCATGTAATTGTACAGATCGTGCGACGTAATATTACGTCAAAGTGTAGAAATAGGGGAGAGTAGGCTACATTGAACCAGCGTCAACAGTGAACCACTTCAATTTTCTGAGAAATGACTGAGTGAAATTTTTTCATATTTAATATATAAGTTAGTTTTACTGAAACAAACTATGTCCAAAAATTTCGGGCACGTAGGTTTATTATTTACAAAGAAAAACTAAAAAAACTGTTTTTCACGTACAAAACAAAAAATTTGGTGGAATTATAATGACGTTTTTTTTATTGAAATAGGAAGTTTTAAAAATTAGTAAACTTGCGATTTATTTCGCTTAGGGTGTCAACTTCAATATTCCGATGTGATAAAGAACTTTAAATCTTACACAAATTTATTATAAACAATTTTTGTTGTGAATGTCATGTGAATACAGTAAGTGCGGCATCATTGAACCACCCGAAAAAGCAAAGAATTTTCAATTTTAAGAGTTGTAAAATTGTCTGCTCTACTAATTAGTAAGAAAAATACTGGAAGACATGCTTTCATCACAATTGTGAACGAGATAAACTCAAACTGTCACTTTACCTACCTAACCTGACATTAAAATACATTAATCTCCTATATTAACAAGTAATAACAATTAAATAACAATTTTCTATTTTTTTGAGTGAAAAATAAGATTTTTCACAATGTGTAAGTGGAAATATTATTTTTGAAGTAAATTGTAGTGTTTTATTAGAGGTGGTTCAATGTAGACACACATCCTTCAAAATAAGAAAAGTGTGACTTGTTAGAAAAAAATTAAATTTAATTATTTAATCATAATAATTTGTGTTTGTAACGTGTGTATTAACTAAAGGAGTACTTCAGCTTAATTTTGATACAAAAACCTGATCGAAATTAGTAAAATTTTATTAGTTCTTGGACTTTATAAAATACCCGGTTCAATGTAGCCTACCCTCCCCTACACGCAATGTAAAAATACCACGTCGGACATAGTGATCAAATTTTCCTACGTCGGACGTAGTAAATTTACACGAAACTATTAAATTACATAGTCGTATAATGTAAAATTATTAAAAATAGTAAAACTACTTTTGGAACGAAATAAATTTACTACGTACAACCTATAATTTTGATGTGTGAAATTACAAGTTTTGTGTTATTTTACACCAGATTTTTTTTACAGTGAATTGTTAAAAATGAAATTTTATTTTAAAAATTTTAAAATCTTATCGTAAATTATTTAAAAATATTTTTATTGAAAACTACGCGTGAAAACAAAACTTTTCATTATAATAACGTCCAATTTGATCAATTTTTGACCGACCCAAGGGGCACACGATAACTAAAAGGCATTAAAATGTTGACATCTACTCAAAACGATAACTTGAAGTTATCAAAAAGAGAAGTGTGCCCGCTGGGGAGTTATAAGCATTTAAAAAAAAAATTTACGTAAAAAACGTTATTTTTCAAAAATCTGTATCTCCTGAACCGCTTTATGAAAAAATTTGAAAAAATCAAGGTAGCTTATTTCAAAGAGTACTAAAAAAAAATGTTAAAAAAAATTTGAGATACAAAAGCAAATAATTTCCGACTTGGCCTGGAATGCCCCATATATTAGTTTAATAAAATATTTTGTTTTTGATTTAATATTTATAGAAAAAACATAACCTCTAAACAAAATAAGATTATCTATTCTGCTAACATTAATTCTACTTACTTCTCCTGTTTTGTGATAAAACGAATTTGCATCTGTGCCACATCTTTATCTTTATTAATTATTGAACTCATTTTCAATTACTGACAGTTTTGTTCAATTCATTAAATGAAAAAATACTAATTTAACGAAGCACATGAAAAAGAAAACATTTGTTATTTGGTGATGTGAAGTAAAGGCGATTCTTCAATAACATTTTTCCGTTGACACATGGTCGCAGGGTTAGGGTGCGATCCCATGTATGCAGAATACGTCGACCGAAAGCAGAAAATCATGAGAGTGAAAAGAACAACAATATCTATCTATCTCTTTCGCACTCATGATTTTCTGTCTTCGGTCGACGTATTCTGCTGTAATGGGACTGTACCCTTAGGGTGGAGTCCCATGACAGCGTTTTGCGTTGCGTCGTAATGGGAGAGAAAAAGACGCAAATATACGTTTGCTGCATTCTCTCTTATTACAACGCAACGCAAAACGCTGCCATGGGACTGCGTTCTTAGGGTGGAGTCCCATGACAGCGTTTTGCGTTGCGTTTTGTAACTAGGCCATGAGTGCAAATATAGCAAACATATATCTCCATCTCTCTCACACTCATTGCCTAGTTACAAAACGCGACGCAAAACGCTGTCATGGGACTACACCCTTAGGTTGGAGTCCCATGATAGCGTTTTGCGTTGCGTTTTGTAACTAGGCCATGAGTGTGAGAGAGATACAGATATATGTTTGCTCTATTTGCACTCATAGCCTAGTTACAAAACGCAACGCAAAACTACGGAAGCGCCAGGAAGGAAGAGTAAGGGTGAAGTCCCATGGCAGCGTTTTGCGTTGCGTTTTGTAACTAGCCCATGAGTGCAAATATAGCAAACATAAATCTCCATCTCTCTCACACTCATTGCCTAGTTACAAAACGCAACGCAAAACGCTGTCATGGGACTCCAGCCTAAAGGCGCTTGCACACTTCCAAATTTTTAGGCGAGCAGCGAATTTTCACGGCCTTGAAATGCACATTACTAAATATGATTGGCTCTGACAAAGTACATTTTCACGCAGCTTTTTGTAGAGCCAATCATATTTAGTAATATGAGTTTCAAGGCCATGAAAATTCGCTGCTCGCCCAAAATTTTGGAAGTGTGCAAGCGCCTTAAGGAGACCGAACTCTGCTTCTACAAATGTCTGAAAAATATGCACGAAAAGTGCCAGACTCACTGTGTTCTAGTCATAGAGATATTATAAATAGAGTGGGGAAGGTATAGGCGGCAGCGTGTGGGGGAAGTGTCCTGCCATAAACAGAATGGGTTGGAGGGAGAAAGAAGATTTAACACCAGTATCTGTCCTTCAAAGAGCTCCAGCGCAAGAGAGACACCTACTGGTGTTAAGTCTTCTTTCTCTTTCTATCAAGCGGACGCATACATGCAAACCATCCCCACTCTATTTATACTATCTCTATGGTTCTAGTTGATCACCAAATAAGTCGATCATGCGCATTGAACTAAAGTTCAGTGTTGACATAGATGAAAAGTGTGGTTATGTCAAGGTAAATATTACATAGTTTAAACTGTGTTAATTTGAAAAGCAAATTTATTTATTTGTAATTTTGATATTATTTAGATTTCCGAAATAATTTAATAATATATTTATAAAAAAAGAAAGTTTTGCGAAAATGGTTAAGAAGAATAATGTTTATAACTAAAGTATATTTACATACCGTAGAAGGATAGAAGAGACTAATGTTTTTAGACTCTTTTTCTTTCTTTACATCCTGGCACACAACACGACATTTTTTTAAATAAAATAAATAAATAATTTTTAAAACGAAATGTATTATATATGTATCTCACTAAGACCGGCTAAATGTAAACATTAGATATTACATCTCACTCGCACAATTTTTAGGAGAAACAGAGACACAACACAGCTTATGCGCATGATCAACTTATTTGGTGGTCGACTAGAACGCATCGAACCTGGCACTTTTCGTGCATATTTCTCAGACATTTTCAAAGCGCTATCTGCACAGAGTTCGGTCTCCTTAAGGCCTTTCTCCAATAGGTTTTAAAAACTCTGCGTCTGCGTCGGTTGCTATTGGGATCCGAAATCATGTGAAACTGACCCACCCCTGTACCCACTTGCGTCCGACATCTTGGTTTTTTATCTCTTTTTTTTACATATGTTAGAGAGAGACGAAATGAAAAGACAACTACCGCAAGTGGGTCGACACCAGAGGGCCTACGCAGCTCTGCGGTTCCCAATAGCAACACATGCTAAAATCAACGCAACGCAGTCATTCGCAGACAAACGCAGAGTTTTTGGATCCTATTGGAGAAAGGCCTTTAAGGCCTTTCTCCAATAGGTTTTAAAAAGTGTGCGAATGACTGCGTCTGCGTCGGTTGCTATAGCAACACATGCTAAAATCAACGCAACGCAGTCATTCGCACACTTTTTAAAACCTATTGGAGAAAGGCCTTTAAGGCCTAAGCACAATAGGTTCGCGAAAGTCGTTCGCGAACGCAAAGCAGGAATTAGAAAAGGACAGAGATATATTTGTGTCCTTGTCTATCTCATGCGTCTCGTTCGCGAACGACTTTCGCGAACCTATTGTGCGTTGGACTTTACTCTTCCTTCCTGGGAAGCGCCTACGCGCCACGAGGCAAAGAGAGGAAACCTGTTTCTGCTAATGTCGTTTTAGCTTGTGAAACATAGGAACACGTTCGATGGTTCGGTGGTTCGATGATGCACCCCAGTCCGACTCCTATGTATTTTGAAGGAAAAATATGTCAGCTTAGTGGTTTGCGTTTTCATGTGCCAAAAAGTAACACGTGATGGCGCTGTTCTCAACACTCGCTCAAAATTCACTAAAGCAATAGAAAAATATCATAGAAACGAATAAATTATTTGTTTTTATAATGAAATCTTGTTGTTAGTGATGTTAAAAATACACGATAAGAAATAATATTGTATTTTTAACTCATAAAAGATGATAGAACAATTGAATAATTAGTATGAAAATACATAAATGTGTTGTACAATAAACTGATGACTTTCGTTTAAATCGTTTAAATTATCAGATAAACTGATTTATAATAAAAGTTAAAGGAAAGTCATAGATAAATAGTATATTTAAAATAAAGAAAACAAATTTAGATAATATAAATAGCATTAACCCTCCGTCACACACATGGGAAAAAATTACGACTTTACACACGTTCAGAGGGAATCGCTCACCACATTGTAAAATAAGCAACATTACAACATAAACAAAGGAATCAACAAAAATTTAGTTTTAACACAAACTTACAAATATGTAGTAAATTATTCTAAATTATAAAATTAATCAAATTAATTTTCGGTCTCAAAAATAAAAATTAATTACACGAATGCACAACTTCAAAGAAATTCCACTCGACATGTAAAAATAATGTAACATTAACAAATAAGCAAAAAAATCATTAAACAATTTATTTTAATTATATTTATAATATAATTTTGTCATCAACCAACAGTGGAACAAAAAATGTTTTTAGAACTTGATTTTTTTATTTAACATAACCTCACTTTTTCGAGTTTCTTCTGGCTTTGAAGCTTCATAATTAAATATTAATTATGTTTAAACTAAATGTTTTTTTAGAAATGTGTTGAGGAGTAAATTGTCGAAAGGTATAGAAACTGATTTTATTTTGCAATGAGGAAAACAAAAGTTATTTAAAAAATACTGAAACCGTAGAGGGAATCCCTCCCTAGGTGTGTGACGGAGGGTTAACTTTAATCCATTTTTTTATTTATTATTTGAGATGAAATTTTACTCAAGACAAAAACAAACATGAACGTATACAATGAATAAAAAATATAATATTAAATAAAAATTTAAAAGTTTTAAACTTTTTTTAAAATTTTTAAACTAAGGCAAGCTTTGCCGGCTACTTATTAAAAACATTTTCACTTTTTAAACAATATGCTCTTTTTACAACATTAAAATAGTTTTTAATGTTAATACTTTTTTTACTTTCACATTTTTTTATAAAATTTAGTTGAGATTTCTAACCGATTTCAACACAACAAATACAATAATGAATGAGGTAACGAATATTGCTGACGAGTAGTGAGTACTGCGCCATCTCGAGGAACTTTTTTGCACATTAAAGTGCAAACCACTAAGCTGACTACTTTCTGGGAAAGACGGACAGGGGTGATATATATTATACTATTAAATAATATTAATAAATTGTAATATAGGAAATGTGTGAGTAGATATTAATTATATTAGCATTATAGCGATTATAGCATTATATTATATTGTATTCATTCACTTTATCCTACCAAAAAAAAGCATGAAGGCATGGGCAAGATCGAATATCGAAAATATCGAAGAGAACTCGCAGCGAGATTAGGAAAAAAGCATTGGAGAAAGGCATACTCATAAGCAAAGTGTCTCCTACCAAAAAAAAGCATGAAGGCATGGGCAAGATCCAATATCGAAAATATCGAAGAGAACTCGCAGCGAGATTAGGAAAAAAGCATTAGAGAAAGGCATACTCATAAGCAAAGTGCATGTTGCAGATGGAGCTGCGGTTGTCCAATTGTTGGCGCTAACTGTTAAAATGTTGATAGCCTTTTTTGAAATTAATAAAAAATAAATATTTATTTTTATTCATTTTTTAATTAAAAGTAATTAAGAAAATTAAATAAACAAAAAACTTTTTTTAATATTATTAATAACAATGAACATACATTCTAATTCAGCATCAGATAATTAAAACTAGACAAATGGTATATATTTATCAATTTATGTTTCTTAAAAAAGAAATTAGAATAAATAAATTGAAATCAATATTATTGAAAATAATAAATAATTATTAATAATAGTAACAAAGAAGGCAGGAGTTTAAATCTTATATTTAAATGTAATGAAATTAAAGTTATTAGAATTAATTCAAAATTAGGTAGCAAACTAAATTTAGAAATGGCGTAGAACAGTTAAAGATTATTCCCTATTTAATGCTTAGCGTTCGCCAGTTTCATATGCCTTACGCTTATATGTTTGTGTAAGTTTAATTGTATATCAAATTCACAAAGAAAAAAGAAAAATTGTAATTAATTAAAAATTATAGGCAGGGAACTGAATTGAGAAATGGCAGAGAACGGCAAAGGAGACGGCCGCTTGCGGCCGTCGACTGCGC